CCTATGCTAGTACCCATGCTGGATTCAGTCTGTTCTGTCTGCCTAGTTCAATCAGGATTTATGTGCAGTCCCATTCTAGCTTTGAGTAAGTTGAGTTGAGTTGACTGCTCTGATTGCTTCCTGGCTATCCGAATAGATTGCAATGGTTTTCCCGTCAAACTCTTGCCTTATCAATTCTTTCACGCAATCATGTATTGCAATTGTTTTTTCCTTAAACACCGTCGCGTATTTGCCTTAGCTCAGTGAGATTCTTATCTTTGGCTTGGCCACAAAAATATCAGATTCTGACCCTACTTCGTTTTTGAAGCCGTCCGTATTCATAGACAACAATGTCTGCATCGATAGGAGGCATTTCTTTCCTTGCCTCTCTGTTCGTTATACTTATCTCAAAAGTTTTTTCAAAGCTTCATTTTGGACTCATGCCATCTGTTGGCATTCTCATGATGAGGTCGCTTTCCAAGTATTTACATAGCTTCCTGTTTTCTTGATCGTGCGTGTTGCTTATAGATGCTTGACCCCTGGACAATCTACTCACGACTGCTCTGGCTTCGCCTTGAATGTATATTTGTAGTGGTGGCAAGTTCAAGAGGACCTCTAAAGCGGCTGTTGGAGAGGTTTTAATTGCACCAGTGGTGCTCAGGCAAGCTTGCCTTTGAATGGCTCTGAGCTTCCAAATCACTCCCGCCTGTTGTGTCTTTGACCACCAAACTACCGACCCATATGCTATCATGGTCACTTTTGGTTGCAGTTCCCAATTTTTTTCGCATTCTTTAAACAATTTTCTGGAGGTATTGATTCCATGTTAGGATAAGGTATACCCGTATGTCAAGTATCAACACAAACGTGAATAATTGAGAAATGCGCATGCGTATATAGCTATCATTTTTCACGTTTACGTTAACGTTAATAGAAACATTCCAACCCTATCATCTCACCTCACAGAGGGTTTCTGTTTTTGAATTAACAGATATATTTTCACTGTCTGGAAATATATACAGAGAGCAGCAGAAAGTATATGAATTTTTAATGTGTGTCCATTTAGTGCGTAATTCTTCGATATCTCCAAAGCCATAACCTATAGAAAAAAACTTTGGAGGAAAAACTTCTTCAGTTACTCAATTCGCTTATTTAGAAAATATTTTCAACATTACTGGGTGTTTTATAAAAGCGGGATGACTCGTAGACGAGTTTTTTTAAATAGAACACCCAGTATTGTTTATTCGGAATTTATTCCGCCGAGGTTTACCTTCACATCGCTGTAAAAAAAATTGGAATCGGTTACGGCGTTATCAAGTTATAATTGATAAATCTATTTTTACCACTATTGAAGAGTCATGTTGAATTGGGCATGGTATATTCATTTATTCAAATTATGAAAATATTTTTGGCATACGGTAGTAGCGAGGTCTCACGTATACAAATTCAGTATTTTTGCGACATGTTCTTTAACAGGGTGCTCTATTTCGCATTTAGAATTTCGCAAGATTCAGATGGCATTCATTAAAATTCTTCAAATGGAACACCCTGTATTTTTTTTTCACAGATTCATTCCGACATCTTTCACCTTTTCATCGCTACAAAAAAAATCATAATCGACTGAGGCGTTGTCAAGTTACGGATAATTTCCTTATTTTTCCTACTATTTCGGAGTATAATTTTTACGTCACAGTTCTTTCATTCAAATAATCAAATTTCTTCATTGACCATTCATATATTTTTCAACAATAGGAACATTAGCACGCTCTCCAACTTTGAATTTAATTCAGAGTGGATTTGACAAATTGATCCAAAATGCTACTTTCACAGATTTTTTGCAGACAACGAATTAATTTTTCGAAGTACACTTCCATTATTCGTGTAATGACCTGTCAAACATCGCCACAATCAAATAATATCTTGAATTCATTCAAAATTTTGCTGAATTTCCTCCCGAAACCCGCGTAGTAAAGAAATATTGTTTGTATCATTATGTAGAGTTTGCCTTCTTCAAGTTTGATGGAGATTTGGATTGTGGAAATAACGACAATAAAAGTGGTCCAAATATCAATGAAATATCCTTATTCTCGCAATTCAAATCTCCATTGTTTGTATTGTAGATGTTGTTTTAAAGGCAGGAGTTTTGCTTTTGGCATGTTTGTTTCACATAGGCACATATTATTTAAATCATAAGTAACAAGATTACGGAATATCTCAAATTTTGACAATGCTTATATCGCAGAGATACCAGAATGATCTATGTATAGAACCTCGGATGTCATGTGGCAAGCAATATTTCCACAATCAAATCAAATAAAGGAACCATGCCTCATAAGTTGCCCTGAGATAGTGATAAACATAAGGAAATTACTCATAACTTGGAAACCCCGCAACCGATTTCAATTTATTTTTCAGCGATGAAAAGGCGAATGATGTCGAAACGAATCTGTGATGAAAAATACAGGGTGTTCCATTTGAGAAATTCTAGTGAACGTCGTCTGAATCTTACAATATTCAGAGTGTAAATTTTAGCTTCCTGTAAAAGATAATCTCGTAGAATTACTGGATTTGTGTACTTGAGACCTTGCTACTACTGTATGCCAAAAATCTTCTGAAAATTTTAATGAATGTATATACCATACCTAATTTAACATGACCCTTCAATAGTAGTAAAAATGAGTTTATCAATTATAACTTGGCAACGCCGCAAACAAATTCATTTTTTTTCACAGCGATGTAGAGCTAAACCTTAGCGGAATAAATTTTGAATAAAAAATACTGGGTGTTCTATTTGAAAAAACTCGTCTCCGAGTCATCCCGCTTTTATAAAACACCCAATATTTTTGAAAATATTTTTGAAATGGAACCTTTGATTACGGAAGTAATTTGCTTCCAAAAGTTTTTCTCTAGTGATAATGGATTCCGAGATATCGAAGAATTACGCACTAAATGGACACACTGTAAATTTTCACTTCATTGGTATCCCAAAATGATAGTTTGATCGAATTTTGAGCAATTTTTATGAGAAGGTCATGACAATATTGATTGCAAATCCAGGTATATTCGCTATACTAGCTACGACATTCAATTCTCAATGACAGTGATCACTACAAAAATTGTAATCATTGTCATGTTCTTCTCTCGAAAATAACCCGAAATCAATCAGACTGTGTCAGTTTTGGAAGCCAATATATGTTTTGAGAAATACGAAAGATGAATATATGCAACCTGCATCCTTGTTTTGATTTGATTGGCTCTCAAATTATAAGTTGATTCAACCTAATTCATCGATTTGAGTGTTCAGGATATGTCGATTCTTCTGAAAGTAATTACCGTCGTTCCGTTGAATGTACATTTTATTTGATGTGTATATATGTATGAATGTGTTTTCATTAATGTTCTGTGATATGTCTAGGAATCTGTTGTATAGGCTATATATTCATGTTTTTTTCTTTTACACTTGGTTCGCCCGTCAATAAATAAATAAATTTCAATATATGTGTAGTAGGACAAATCAGATGATCTGCCCCAAAATGTCACTGCGTTAACCAAATTTCTCCATCAAAGAGCCTTAACGAAAAATCGAATAGCTTGTCAGTGACACTTTGTTTGGAAAAAAGTTTGAAGAGAAGAAATATAGATATATTAGGATATAACGAATTTTCGATTTTCAGTAATGAATACCATTGCTATGCATCCTCTAATAACCCTCTCATCAACTGCCTACAATCCAAAATTAGGTATATCCAAAATAAAAAAAAGGGCGATAAATTAACTCGTGAATCAGGCGAACATTTTTGTCTCCAAAGGGATTGCACCATCATTTTCATTATGGATTGTTATCAATAAAAGGGTCATCACAGGTTGCATAACTGACATTATGATCTTAAACTATAAAGTTTTGTACCTGGGGCACAATAATACTGATCGAAGGTTCCGATTCTCACAACATATTGTGATTATCTGATGGTAAGTCGTAAGTAGGACTATCAGCTCTCCGAAGGATGACGTTGGATTACGAAACACACAGTTCTAGCTGGAAGTCTAGGATAACTCATGATGCATATTAATCCAACGAAACCCAGTTGAGATATACAGATTATGAGTTCTGTGATGTATGTACATATTCGAAATGACATGAGACACATACCTAGAAAATTCCAGTAATACAAGTCTTTATTCAAAAACATCCTATAACTGCTAAATGAAACATTTTAGCAACGAAATGCCATCTGATGAGCGTGAAAAGTCAACGTTTCCAACCTGTAACAGGTCACCTTTTCAAATCTTTTCGTTTTGAAAAGGTTAAACCTTAGATTCGAAATGGAACAAGATTATAGTGAGAATATGGAATTCAAATCCTGAAAAATGTCATTTCACAGTTATACAAGTATCATTCAAGTTCCATTCTTTCCTCATTCACCATCTTTGTCATACTCGTTTACCACAACACTTTAACACTTGTTTCATCAGAATCGTTGATCGTCTTCGGATCCTGATATGTATGCCCATATATGCCATATTAGCCCGCAGCAGCTCGTGAACCCTTCTTAGAGGGTGAAGATATTTTTTTTTTTTCGGAAAAGTGGTTGAAAGTTTTTCTAGAAATTTTAGGGGCATATTTGTTCATATTTGTTGAGGAACTACAGGAAGTTGAACTGCATCCGGAAATTATAGTACATCTGAAATTCTTTCAATTTGGATAAAATTTCGTATTTCTGAACTACCTCACTATTCAGTGAAGTGGCAGAAGCTTGAAGCTTGAATGTACAGAGTTATATCGGTGATAAATTGTATTGAGCATACAGGATGTCCAAGATAAGGGTGTCCTCGTATCCTCAAATGGGACACGGTGTATATGTATTTATTTGATTCGTTTAATTTCATTTGCTGCTTCGATATTCACAAGAATTGTAGTCGACAATAATTCATCATAGGAAATAGAGGTTTTTCGTTTTCATTCCGTGATTCGTGAACCCTCATTTACTGACGCATATTCCAAATTTGATGTTTTTTTTTTTCAGTATGAATGTCATAAACCATGCGCAAAACTTCGTGCGGGATGCAGCACTAAGGAACATTATTGCAGAAAACTCTGCCATGAAGAATGTGAACCTTGCACTGCTCAAGTAAAGAAGCACAGGACTATCTGTACCCATGTCTTCGAAGTTTCATGCAACTCCAACGTTGATGAGGTAAGATGCGCTCATTATTTTTTTCACAATCATGACAACCAATTCCATAAATTTATGACCTCAAGTGTGTCACTTCATCATTCGGAATGTCTTAAACATGGTGTTTCATAATATATGAGATGCACTTCGGGAGGTGATAGGGCGCCAAAAACAAATGGGAAAAGTTCCTATAAGCGAAAGTCGGCTCTCCTTTGCAAATGAACCTCAAGACTTATCAGAAATTAACACGACACAAAAAATATTTCTGAAGAGGATATCTTTCTGGAGAAAAGCTGGAAGTTTCCAGTCTGACCTCTGACCAAATTTGTACGGCAACATCATGGTTGTTTGAAACACTTGCAGGTCACTGATGATGATCAAAAACATTCCAAAACGTGACTCACAGACATGTCATGCCAAAAATCATGAAAATCGATCTCAGCTTACTCTTTCCATTGGCAAAATTATTTTTTTTTTTTAAAAACTTCAACGCCTTGTACCAACGCAACGAGACGATTTTGGATATAGGTAGGTTGGCCTAAATCAACTTGTTTTCATCCCAGGAGTCCACAGCCGAGCCATGTCCCAACCTTTTCCAGACATCCTGTATATTTGGAAGTGAGAGGGTTTGTGATAATACCATTATACAGGTTGTTTCACAGAATAGTGTATACATCTGTTGAATAAATAAGTAACGACAGTAGGGGTCGCGACACCCCAGTCCGGCCCCTCCACTCCACCTACCACGTGACTCGGCCGACCAATCACAGGCCGGCCTGACTCGGCTAGCTACTCGCGGCCCAGCGAACGGGTCGTCATCATCAACTGGACTGCGATAGATCCGTTCTAGAGATAACGGCGCGCATTTCATTCCATTTTTTCACTCAACAACGGCTATATACAGGGTGTTTGAGTTGGGTAATAGTTGGGAAAAAAAAATAGGGTGAACCCAAAAAGGCGTTATACCTCTCCGAAGAGTAGACTACCTACATATGAAGGCTACCCGCTATAACATGATATACATAGGGCGTTTGAGTTGGATAGCAATTAAAGAAAAAAATATACTGGACGCCTCACCCACTTTTGCGGGATTAGACAGCTGACGTATTACATAAGACATTTGACAGTTAACAAAGGATTGATGACACGTGACTAGATGACCTGCAAGTAGACTACCCGCTACCTAATAATTTAATATACAGGATGTTTGAGTTAGCAATAGCGATACAAAAGTATACATAGGGGTCTCACAGGTAGACTCAGCAAACATACGTATGATAGAGTATCCGTTTGATATACAGGTTGTTTGAATAGCAATACAAACTCACATAGGGCACTCATGGCCTGACGTTTGACATTTGAAAGATGACCAAAAAACGCTATCATACATCAATACTAGACAAACGATACAATGTTTTCGAGGTTATGTTCCATTTCAGACATTCGGTATAGCAAATTTATTTATCCTTTCTAGTTTTCTGGATTTGTGTGTTGTTATGTAATGGGTAGCATAAAGAAAAACCCCCCTGGTATGTTTTAACTCGTACAACATACATATATAATAATATAGTGCCACTGAATGATCAATACCTCTATGTCATGTTGACATGTTAATATTGGCAGGGATAATCAACACTTAGGAATATTATACATATCGTCAGCGATCTGACAATAATACCTGCTAAGTAACATTTTTTTCGAATATTGGTATTTCATGCAGTTATAGCTTTCAATATTCATTGCGCACAATCTGAAATGAACTGCTACCTCCAGATGAATCCTTTGTTTACTTCATTGAAGGAAAACAATATCTGCTATCGACTTGACCTGTTACTCGATTATGTTTTATTCATCTCCTGTAAAAAAACCTGCTCTGCACTATATTGCACTTAGCAGATATTGTCAGTTCGCCGACGATATAGTGACCCAATTAAAAAAAAAAGGTATTTCTGTTCGAGCCACCCTGTATAACATTGGCATTTTCAGTTCGGAGAAGATTAGGAGGGAAAGTATTCGAATATTTAATAATTCATTATAGGTGACTGAAACAGCCCGAGATTACGATTTCCTGCCCCTCGGCGCGATTTTCTGTGTGTGTGTATTGAAAAAATAGCCAATTTCCGAGATAACATGAATTATAACAGCATGGAAATACAGACTTCGACTGAATTGTTCAAAGAAATAAGATATTGTACACTGAAATATTGACGTACTCAAGAAAATGATGACTATACTCACGAAAACCAACTACATTGCACTACCTACCTACTTTGCTCTTCAAACAACCCACCCTTCACATGTCATCAGGGCACATAGATGTCTTAGCCCCCGCATACTTTCACAGACAGTAACACACCTCAGCGGTAGGGCTCGTAGGCTTCTCGTACAGACAGCAACACACCTCATTGCCCTTCTATATGTCTTATATTCCCTTCTTGTTATTTCAATGGTGTCGTGGACGATTTTGTTGTTGCGCAGTGGTGGTGGTTGGAAGTAACTGAAAGTGGTGAAACTGAAACATAATGTGAGTTGCAAGTGTTGTACAAATTCTCGCGAATCAAATAGGCCATCATTTTGAAAGAGGTGTGCGCATGCGTCACAAAGAAAAGTCACTCTATATGAGTGACAGGGCTAACCAAGTGATAGTATGACAGGAGTTAATGGCTGTGTGAATAGCAGTGTGCGGTGTGAATGGTGGTATGAATGGCGGTGTGGTGGTGTGAATGGCGGTGTGGCGGTGTGAATGGCGGTGTGAATAGCAGTGTGGTGGTGTGAATGGCGGTGTGACGGTGTGAATGGCGGTGTGACTGTGTGAATGGTGGTGTGAATGGTAGTGTGGAGGTGTGCATGGCTGTGTGAATGGCGGTGTGAATAGTGTGACGGTATGGTTAGTGTCGGGTTTATAAAAATGTCAGTTGTTGTCCTGACTTCATACTGTTGACATCATAGTAGGAAGAAAAATATATAACGTCTTGAGATGTTTGCTTGTCAGCAATGCAACAAGAAATTCAAGTGGGCCTATGGATTGAAGCGGCATATGGATAGTCATGACGAAGAAGTTTTCAATTGTCATTATTGTGTGGACAAATTCACAAGATTGGATAGCATGAAAAAACATTTGGCGAGAAAGCACAAAGGGAACGACCTGGTTAATCCCCAAAACGAATCGATCATCACTGGAATCGGTCAACGAAATGAGTCGAACTCCTTTGATAGTGATCACCAATTATTGTCCCAAAGCCAGTCGAATTCTGAGATTGGTCAGCAGTCGAGTCATAACGACATGAACGGCGATGCCGCTACGGATGACCCTTGTGAAAATAAAATCGAAGATGAAGATCAGAAAATTATGGACTTAGCTGAAATTGTAAGAAATATATATTTGGCTTTCGAACCGTCTATGAAACCCACGAAAAAAACAAGATTGAAGATGATCAAGCCGAGTAAGGAATCGCGACCTGTCAAGTATTCGTCTTACAGTTCGACTGACACCCCACCTTCCGATCATGAAACTTTGCCAAGAATCTACGATAACAACTTCGATGAGGACATCGAAGGAATCAAAGATTTTGATGATAATATGGTAGACCCAAACGAATTGGTGGATAGATTGAGAGAAATATGGCATTCTGGCCCATATTATAATAGTGAAATTATTTCAATTCTAGACATACTACGAAAAGAAGGAATAATAAAAGGATACTCCAGGAAAGAAGATGAAATAAAATTAAAGCATAGGATGTGTTGAGGTCTTTCGGTATTTTAGTTGAAATAAATAGTCTGTTTAATTTTTATTAATACTGAACTGAAACATGAAATGGGTACTCAGCAGAGTGTCTGAGGCCTGATAGCATCTAGCAATTGTTGACATCTAATAACAAAATTGATGTCACGATGACAATATTGGTGATCATTATCCCAATAAAAAAATTCCCCTCTGGGTCATTAAACTGCCACCTATATTCTCAACATATAGAGCAAAACCACATATGCATGCGCATACTTACTTGAGCAATGATTTTCAACGACGCTTGCTTGTCTTCTGTTTAACGGTCAATTGTACATGACGGGCATCTGTGTTGCTCAACTCCACGCTCTCATCATCATCATAGTGCATCTAGTATTTCTACAGCTGGTCCATCGTTTTACCAAACAGATGTTCATTATAATATGAAAATATTTCAAGGTTCAGATGGAAAAATCCGCCACTGGGGTTGGGACCCAGTCTTGGACAGCTCTTTTCATCCTCCACTAAAACCCCCACTGCTTCAATCTCGGATGAATGAAGAGCAAACCCATCGTTAATCCTTTTGGCAACATTTCCACAATAATGATATTATTCAGATCATATATGTATGTATAAATGGAAAACTAGTTGGTTTTGCGGAAATGCAACAAAAAAAAGTAGAGGATTGAGCCTCAAATGCCAAAATGGGATATTTTCAGGCAGATTTCAATAGCAGAGCTCAAAGGTGTTGGATAAATAAACAATTAGAGTTGTTATTTTTCTAGTTGTGAAAAATGTCGCTGTTTGCCGACTTGGTGAAGAACATCGTTTCAATACTGGGCTTCGTTACATCAAACCATGATGATCAAGAGATAAGAAGAGGTCTTCGCGAATGTCAGAAGGGGATCAAGCGAATAAAAAAAATGCGATGAGATATGCGAAGAACTTGGGAGAGAAGCCTGTCTCCGGAATATCAGAAGTTTGCGGAATCAATTGAAACTGCTTCAAAAGAAGGGGTCGGACTTGCATCGAGAAAGGAGACTGCTAAACATCGAGTTCTCTGGGAAGATTCTCTGTCTGCTTTCCAGAGTCGAATTCGGACTGGAGTAATCTCGAACATAAAGCATAAGGATCCTGCTGCTTTCTTGACCGATTGCAGAGCTCTATTCAGAATACGTATCCAGAACGCATTGAAGAAAGATGTTGCAGTCAAGGTCAATTCGGTTTTCTGCGGGGAGTTTGAGTCGGTGGAGGGGAGATAGTGTACCCCTACATCGAGTTGAATACCCCGATT